TCAGTATATTCATTTGATAATATAACCGAAATATTTTTTGTCTATAAATAACGTGTTTCTAACGATCTGCAAGCTGACAAATATCGCCAAAGAGAAAGAAAGGATCTGAAATAATGCTCTGAAACAAAGAAAATTAATTTTTTATTTTCGATTTATAGTATTTCCGATTTATATTTATACTATTTTTATACACGAAAAATCGAAGAAATCGAAAATAAAAAATTGATTTTCTTTGATATACAGAGTATTATTTCGGTTTCTCCCTTTCTGTGTGTTCAGCGATATGTCAGCTTACAGATCTCGTTAGAAACACGTTATTTATAGATCACAGAATATTCTGGACTTTTATTCGTGGTTTACGGAATATTCCAGGTTCTTGATTTTAATAATTATTTGCATGTGTCGGTATATTAATAACCGGAGTTCTGAGAATACGAAATACTTCGGAAAACTAATTTCGTGATTCTCAGATAATGAATTAAAGTAATAGAAAGTGAATTAAAGTGATAGAAGTTAATTATAAGTCCTATGTTTCGGAATGTGATAGCAATAATATAATTTTGCGAGAAAAAGTTGAATACTTTTCAATCGATTGAAATTCTCTATAAAGTAAAGCGGGATAATTTGAATAAGTTAGATAGAATAGAAATTTTCAAATTGTATAAAAGTTTAAAATTGTATAGTGTATTCAAAAACGTATGCTATTACACCAATAATATATGTTTTGTGAACTGATTGAATTCGAGGATTGAATTATATATTAAGTGACCTCAATCTTTTTATGCAATTTGAAAATTTCAGTTTATTCTATCCAAATTACCCGTTTTATCTTAGAAATTGCTGCGAATAAATAGAGCTATCTTTCGTTCTTCGTCTACTATATCTATACGGATAAATTTTTCAATACTTGGATGTCATTTGTAATTAAACTTGATTTTATTATAGCGAGAACGTATAAATCAAGAAGTTATCGATAGGCGATGCGAGACGCGATTACCCAAGGGATTAATTAAATTGTTAGATAGGATTTTCAGTAATAATGGGGTTTCGATATAGTTTGGACCAAAGGTTCTAACTGGGAAACTGTAATCACCACAAGGGTTGACAGCTTCTATACGCATGTTGGCAGTGTACGCGTTCAAACTTGTTTCGAAACAAAGAATAAGATACAAGTATAAATAAAGTAATAAAGCGCCATAAATAAAGTATAAACACAAAGTATAAAAGAAATAAGTGAACTGTCTTCTCATATATAAGAAAAATTGACGTATAAAAAAGAGAAAAGGAAGAATAAGAAAGGAGAAATTGTACAGACAATTGATCTCTATGATAATACATAACATTTAATTATTATAATATTCAGTATAATTTTTTTAAATAACATACTAACGTCAGTTTCGTTTTTTAGCTAATTTCCTTTCTATGATATTCATAATCGGATCTTATATTTAAGATCGACTTAAGTATAGTCTTAAGATGCCATGAACCAATCAAAGAACCGTATTATATCTTAAGACATTATTTAAGATGCTAATTACCAGTCTTCAAATAAGAACGGACTATGAATATATCTTTATTTCTTATATCTTCATTTCTTCATTGTTTGTTTAAAGTAGTTTGTTTAATATAAAGTATAATATAAAGTATGAAGAATAATATATGAATAAAATATTTTTCAGATATTTTCTGAAATATGAATTTATTCTTAGTTTGGTTTATACTTTTAAATATTGAACATTTTTTAAATGTTAATCAGCAGGACAGGGGATTCAATAGTTACCCTACCATCGGTTAAAATGAGTTTCGAACTTTTGGGCATAGATCAGCACCCTAACTCGTCTCAAATGTTGCCGAAGGGTAGCACAGTTATATGGAAGGTATGTCCCCCTTTTCGCTAACGGTGTGGTTCCAGCCATGAGTCATACCGTACCCTATAGATCGCCCCCGAGTGTGACGTCATTACCGAGCTCTCTCCCCCGGCGAAGGCATGTCATCCTCGGGTTATTATGCAAGGGATAGGGCTTACGGCAGAATTGTGCGCTCTATCTTTCTCTGTCTCTAGAGATTTCTTTGACGATATTCTCGCGAGTCTAAAATTGCGCGACGTAGTTCCAAGCTCGTCTTATACATAGCCTGTATTATTTTTCTGTTGAAGATTAACATTTTATCGCAATTTTATATATCAGAGTGACTCTAAGGCAAATCATTAAATTTTATATTTGTATTTTTAATCAACTCAAACTTTATGTTTCTTTAACGAAAGCGTCGAGATATCGATGTTACTTGAATTAATAATTAACAAATAAGAGATTAAAAGTAAAAATAAAATCGAATTTTATTTTTATCTTAATTCACTAAAATTGGATTAAATCGAATTTCAAATAAATTTGCAATAAAATCAAACTGCTGATTTCTAACTTTTTTTAAGATTAGCGATAAAATATCAATAAAAGAATATTATTCCGAAATTATCCATGAGATATTAAAGAGAGAAAGAAAGAATGTATGCATGTCTAGTTTCTGTATATAATTCTGTATATAGACACATATTAAACGCTTTATTCGCCTTCGAGAGTTTTCTCTTTTATAGGACGAGCAATAAAAACGGATTGGCGCAACTTTCTGTTCGCGCTTCATAAAATAGAGTTTGTTCGGAACGCGAGCGCGAGGGAATGTTAAAAAGGTCACACGTTTTTAGACCGATTCGTGCCTCTGTCTCTCCATTTATCGCCCACTTATATGTACTTGTATTGCACTTATAGATATTTCAAGGGATATCATGACTATGAACGCGGAAAAATGTCAGCGGCAGAAAAATGTCAGAACTTTTTCTACGTTAACAGTGATAACAATGTTATTAATATCCAACATAGACTATGAATATTTATGTTTATTGAATGCTATTCATGCTGCATATTCCTTAACACGGATATTACATAGACTTACACGGGATCCATACTGGTGGCCGTGAATCCTTACAAAGAGGTGGACTTCTATACGAATGTGAGTATAATTATTTAATTTTAGCGAAATCATGTTAATTCTTCATTTGCAACCTGGATCGTTTTTGGAAAGGGGGAGGGAGGAGGATCGTTAGAAGGGAAATTTTACTCACAAATTTCGTTCTATTTTTAATTCAAATTTTAATTTTTAAATAAAAATTTTAAATAAACATTTAAGTTAAACAACTATTCGGTAACTAGAAACCATAAAAAAAAATCTTGAATCTTTTTTTTTGAAAGCTTAGTAATAATAGAAGAAAAACTTTGGCTGGACAAAGAACTTAGATCACAGACGGAGGGTTAAATTAAAGAGCGTAAAGAAAAGAGGAAAGAAAAGGGAAAAATTTGATATATTGTATTTTTTTAATTGAGTGCTTTCTATTTGATAACACAATTGATATAAGCATTATTCTTGACCTTTAGTGGTTAAGTTAGAACGATATTTATATTATCAAATAGAAAGCATTCATTATTATAATATTTTAAATTACTCTCTCTTTGAGTATATTACTTTTAATATTGTGTCATGTTGAAAGCAATATAAAATAAATGGAATTTTATTAGAATTAAAATATATTTATATCTATTATACAAATCACAACCATAATTGCTTATTTAGTTAAGACTTATTTAATTATATAAGTATACAATAATTATACAATAATTATATTACTTATTTAATTAAGAATATTTATTCAGATATCGTTAGAATTGAGTAAGTTAAATATTACATAAATACAAAAATTGAAATATAAAATATTACGCAAAATTCTGAGAGGAAAAATTAAAGATAGAATTTAGATATCGATGTGACGTAGATACGATACTTCTTGCAATTTTTAGAGATTACTTATTTGAGATATAACGGAGAAGAAATATTTTCATTCAAGTAAGGTATACAAATCCGATACATTGAATGAGTATTATCGATACGAAGTGATCGATAGGGTGGGCTCGATAGATCGCTTGTGCGTACAAAATACGCCGCGCTTCCTGCGGCTGACAAAAACCGGAAACACCAGCAAGGAATAATAAATATCAGGCATAATGCGTGATGTCGCCGCTTTGTGAAGCAAAGTGAAAAAAGAGCCGCTAAATGCTATACATGTTAATTTTCTGGATGGAGATGAAAGATTAATAGCAAATTCGAAATACAAATGCGGACTAGCGCACATTAAACCGTAATACACAAATTGACGTAAAAAATGCTTATTCAATATAAATATTAAACCACGAAATTCTCAATACATTTTATTGTGGCTATAATAATTATTATTAAAATTTTATTATGTTTGTTTTGTAAAATATATGTAGGGCGTTTTATCATTCAAGACGTTTTAAAAAGCTGTGATATTTCATATCACAGAAGATTGTGAGTTCGAAACTCATACAGTTTTATTGTTATTACATTAAATAATAAATTTTAAATCTTGATTTAAAAAATTATTCCTCGTTCATTGGCTTTCTATTTTTGCTTATTGTTCTTACATATTACGAGCTAAGTAATTATATATTGTATATATTTATAATTATTAGCAATTTCATTTTTACACTGAGATTAAAGTATTCAATGACTTTAATATGCACCAGTACGCAGTAGTGTGTTCAATCAAATTTGCTATAAAAATGCTGTCTCGGATCTTTTGACATCTCGTTGAATGCATTTCTTACATGCGGCTGCTCTTGCTACAACGCGCATTGCGAAAACAAGAAGTAACTGCAGTTCGTTTAGCAGTCTCTCAAATGTATGATAATACGACGTTAGCAACGAAATTACACAACATTTAATGAAATTTTCACTTTATTACTTTGTGGTACTTTGTAATAAAGATACTAATTACGTTTAAGTCATTCAACTATACATTTGCAAATATCAAACAGAAAAAAAGTAAGCAATGTGTGGCGTTAAATTTAACGGAGAATTTGAAAGGATAAAACTTATCATAATTTTTCACAATGTATGAACTCAAAATTCTTGAAAAGGAATAAGAGAACCAATTGTATATTTGCAAAAATAAAATTTCCATTTCAACAGAATTATTACAAAGATTTTTCAAATGTCATCATTTACTATAGCATATATTTTCTAATTAAGTTTCTAATTAAGTTTTATGAAGTTTCTTCTTTTAAAAAATTCTCTTAAAATCATTTTAAAACGGACTTCATTTAAAATTAATTGAAGAACATAATAATCTGAAACTTAGATCACTTTTGTTGAAATATTCGTTTATTCGTAGCTCAAAAATTATAACTTTGATATTCTCAATAAAAATTTGATATTTTCGTGGAAAAATTAATTTTAAATTGACAAGCTGTTGTAAGAAATAGTACACAAGAAGAAAGATACATTGTATTCAAGTGTACATATATTGTTGGCTGAGTTTATGAGTTTCTTTCCCTCGGACCCTAATCGACGATGAATTTCCTCGTCGCATGTATACATGCAATTTGCATACTCGTGCAAAATTATCATGTTTGTGGCGGACGAGTTTTTCCGAGAATGGCTTCACAAATCCGCAAAATGCATCGCGGCAGGACGCTTTTATCGTATTGACCCTCGGTTTGAAAACAGGAAACGGAAGCCACAACGTGCTTATAATGCGTCGAGATAACTCGTGAAACGGCGAGCGTTACTCTTCTTCGACAACAGTTTTTCTAGGTCACGCTAATGGAACAAAACTCGAGCGATAGCACGCTCGACTTAGTTTTTGACAGGATGATAATGTTAACAATTACGTTAATTGGGATGCTCATATACATAGACTTGATTCATTCGTGCAGAAATGTATCGCGAGACCTTTATCGACGAGCTGATATTTGCGATCGAGGGTGAACGAGATAAATTTCTGCTCGTTCACTATTTATCGGGTAAAACACTAAGTGCATATACTCGATAATATAGAGCAGTGCCGTTTCCTTTTCCCGCCACCGGTGCAGCTATTTTCGGGTGCACGTATTGCGCGACGGCTTTGCTCCCTTGCATGTCGCAGACTCATCGTCAATAGTCATATGTCTCAAATATGTCTCTCCGGGACGAATTATTTTTGAGTACCGAACAGCAATTTCGAGCAGATCCAAAATGAAGAAAGGAAAAGAATTTATTGTTACAGAGACAATAAATTTCACAAAAATTTAACAGTAAATTGAAAATCTAAAAAATTCAAATTATTATTAAAAAAAAAACCTTGATAATATTTCTCGGGAAATTTCATCGGAATTTTCAGTTCATTTTTATCAAAATTATTCTTTCGGCAACTTTATTTTTAGTTTGTCAAAGTGGTATATAAATTTCATTTAACTTTTAAATTTTTTTTTAACTTTAGATAAATTTTTAAAAGTTTTACTTTGATATTTAAACGTATTGATTCTTTTTATGTTCATGGATTTTATCTTTTGTTGTATTAAACTTAACAGTCAAAAAACTTTATATATTTCTGTAAAATTAAAACATAATGCTCCAATTATTTTTAATAAGAAAACAGCAAAACTGTTAAAAATCTGAAAAAATGTTTGATTATTATTTCATGTTATTATATTAATGTCATATTATATTATTATTAAATTGTTATTACTACACTATGTACTTAGGCGAAGATTAGTTTTTTGCAAATAGTTTTGATACTTCTTTTCAACGAAATGAGAAGAAAGCTATAGATTCCGCCACATGAATGGGTTTTATATTAAGCTAACAAATAATAGAAGCCTCTTCAAATTTTTGAAAGAATTCTTCAAATATTATTCTGTGCAGCCGCGCGTTTATACGACACGGAAAGCATCGAACGGCGGTGCATGCGACCGTAAATTGAATTGGACGGTGAGAATTGCCAGAGTTAGAGTGCAGCGATAAAATTTACTTTGTCTCGTGTTTGGGAACGAACTGGCTCTCTAAAGGCTTATACATTTTATTGCATTTCCCCTGCTTCTCTCTCTACAATGTACGCAACCTTTGAACAGGATTTTTTAATAAGAGGGTACTGTATATCCTCGCGATGTTCAGAAAACTTTTCGAGTCTCCCTCAAACTGACAAGTTGCAATAAAATTTTAATAAGAGGTCGTCAACGGTGTTTTTATTACCACATTTTTAGCAATTTTTTTAGTATCCAAATTACTTTTCGGAAACACAATAATTTGGAAACTATTATCGCGCATGGCGCAATCCGTGCGCGAACCAATTTGTGCGAAACGAAAAAAAACTGATTGTAAATTCACGTGACTGCGGTACATTAACCTCGTGCACACATTTGTGAAAATTTGCGTGCTACGGTATCATGCGTGATTTGCGAAGGTCAGCTGGGGTACCGCCGACCGAGGACTCCTGCCGGGACTAGAAGGAAGAGGGTGGCACGCAGTGGTGGTGCACGCCCCGCGTTATTGATCGCGCCGAAGCATGCGGATCGGATTCGGGACTCGGCGTGGTCGCCTTGGGAGCCGCTAATTCCGCACATTTCTACCGGATACTCTTGCTGGATCCTCGCCAGAACGATCACGATGATCCACGTGCAAATCGCGCTTGAATTACCAACGAGTAGCAACATACAGGAAACAGCTACATTCGCGTTATCCAAATTCGTTATAAATCTGACCTCTATTTCGAGAAAATAAATTTTCCAAGCTAATTACGTGAAAAGCTTTTCTTAAAATTATCGACGAAGAAAATTAATGTAAAAATATGCTGTAATTATTAATTATTATACATACAATTAATTATTATGAAATAACGATGTTGTATATCATTTATTTGCTATAATAACGACACAATTAAAATAAAAAACAAAAGTTTTTCAAAAAATAAGTTTAATATATTAAATCATTAAAATTTTGTAATATTTAAAATATAATTTTGATGTAATAATTGATTATAAAGAAATAAAAGGATGTTTTATCTTTATATTTCTTTTTATCTTTATATTTCCTTTTTTTTTGCAAGCAACTAAAATAATAATAATTTTTGAATTGTGTTGTAGCAAATGAGCGACATATAGTGTTTTAAAATGTTAAACATGTATTAGATTATTTTAATACCCTTGTCGTTAGATGTTCGATAGAAACATCCGAGATAAAAAGTCACTCTTATATAAAAGAGAAACAAAGAAATAGCAACCTTAATTAACTAATCCAATTTTTTAATTCACTTATTAATCCGCTACGCTCATTTTTTGTACACTTCCAAGCTAAGAATAATTCAATTTTGACATCATACTGTTACATTCATTTGACACATGTCTCTCTGAAGAATAAATCTAATTCTGTGAAGAGTGAAATCTCACACTCTTAAAGAATTGAAAATTGAGCCATTCTTTATTAAGATTGGCTTAATTTTCACTCTTTAGAAAGAACTTTCATTCCAAAGAATTTATGAGTAGCGATGTATGATATCATTTTGTTGATCATAAGTAAGCAAATATACTCGAATTGTTGTCGAAGTAAATGATTGGTACTTCCATAGTAAACCCACAATCAAGTCGTTCAAATATTTGCCGATATTAATGGCTAGGAAATACGAAAGACTTGTGTGAAACTTTATCGGTTTTTAAATCAATTATTTTATTTTACTTATTGGAATACGATTATGCGAATTATTATTTATTTACTGGATAATAATCATTCCATACAAGATTCCATACAAATACATCTTTTCCTTTTTTATCAAAATTGAAAATTATTTGCGATATTTTATTCTTCGCGATGTATATAAAATAGTAATAAACGCAAAGGAAAAATTGACAGTTTTTTTATGAGATTGCTTAATATATCGGATAACCGTAATTCGATTTGAACCAATCGATTGGATGTTCCGAATATCACGGTGATGGTTTAATAACTAATCTTGCGGTAATCGAGGGGGGTTAACATCACAAATAAGTCGATTCGTTTCCGATTTCCAGACTCGGATCTCGGAATACCCATCTATTGCAAATATTTCTTCGTCCCTCTCTATATCAGGATAAACGGAAATTGACGTTAATCAATCCATATTTCGTCGCGAGTTTAACGCTCGATTTGTGTAATGAAAGCGAGATGAAAAATCATCGTAGTTTCTATCGAAGCACGATGACACGTGTTCAATTCCCTCATAGACGATACTGATCGATGGACGTGACCCACTAACGAAATGGAACGAAGAATCGACATCCCTTTGCAACACTACCGGTGTTGACGACGCTGTGTAACAGCGGGAAGCTTAAACTAATTGAAAAAAAAGCAACACTGATTTTAGTGGAAGTTGGCTATGGATTATTTTTGAGATAAAAATTGGTATTTTTATCCAAGATATTTAACAGATGCAATTAATCGTGAATAAGTTGATTTAATTTATTTGATCTTATTACTTAGGCTTTAATTCCATTTAAATGGAGTAATGGCTTACAATTTTAAATGTAGAACTGTAGATATAGTTAGAATTATTATTTAAAAAATTACTTTGTTATTACTTCGTTTATTATTGCATTGCTATGTGTCACAGAAACAGGAAAAATTAGCTATAAATGACAAAATTGTAATTATAAATACTTTGTATTCAGTTCCAAAATCTAATTACGGATATATGTATTTGGCATTATCTTAGCGTTTAAATTATAAACAAATAACGATAATTAGTACAGCTGAACACGAAAATTTAAAGTAAAAATAAAAGTAGGTATTTTGATCTAAAAATATAAATTATCTGTGAGACATTCTAAATAAATATTGGACATAAAAATGACATTTTTCTATTTGCAAATATTAAAATTATTTATTTTTGGATGTTTAAATACTCTGAAACTTTAGAAGTCAATTATAAAGTTCAAAACTTTTAACATTAAGTAGCTTAGAATGAAGATATTGAACAGCGCAGTATTATATAATGCGACATGTATTTATACATGGATGCAATCGGTTTTTTTCAAAAAGAAGCAACGAGAAGTGTCGAAATTTCCGGCGCGTTGCTTTGAAGGCGTCCTTTCACACTTATTTTTATATCCCAGCTTGTTTTCTTAAGGTTTTCCGACTACGCTTGGTTTATCTCGGGCAACCCATGCTCTATAAATGTACCTTGAGATAATTTCCTTCCAAAATAACTTTTTAAGGTTACATTGAAGCGTCTTAAATCATTCTATAGCAATATTAATATTCAGAACGTCATTTATTGAAATTATTGATTTACCATATAAATATGTTAACAGCACAAATTAATCGTAGCTTTTAAGTTAATAACGTAATTACATCGATTTAATTAATTTTTTTACATAAAGTATTAGACAAGAAAAAGAATTCTAAAATTAGTACTTTAAAGATATATTTGAATTGGATTTGAATGTTTGTAATTATGCATTTGTTAAAACAATTTATATATTTGTTTTTCGGAATTAGGTATTGTTGCTTAGGTACTAACCTAATCTTGATTTTAATTTAACAGACGTTTATCAGGAAAAATACAGTGCGTCATGTTAATCTAATAATATTTCCACTTTTAAAAGTACATAAAATAAAGAAATAAGTACAATAAAATTAAATCCTTTCAGAAAATTTAATTAAGAATAATTTAATTAAGAATTTGTAGTGTACTTTTAGTACGTATGTTTGTTTTTTTTTTGTCGTGTAAAGATGGTAACTTAATAAAGGTCTATAATGTTATTAGCTCTCAAAATTTATTTTTTGTACAGAAATGAAGTTAAAGCGCTGGAGAAATTGCTACATAATAGCTACATAATAAAAATTATAATATTATTTCTGAAGCTAGAAATAATTTATTAAGTCGCGTCTTCGCTGATTTTTACGAGTCGATTTGTACTAAAAATAATCTTTCTGTCATCAAGAGGTCGTTTTGTCGGTACTATGTATTTTCCTGTTATCACATGGCGGCAATTTCAGCCGAGTGCATTTCATCCATTTGTAACGGGCGTCGAGGCGCATTCTCGCTGCCTGATGCTTAGCGGCGCGGGCGGCCCGACGCAAAACTGGGTTGCACTACTTCGGCTGCGAGACTAACGGCCGAGAGCGACAACCCAGGCGGAGAGCGGCGTTTTGCAGAGCTTGTATGCTTGTGTATATACCCGCGTCCCGAGGGAGAAGGCTAAACGAAGAGGGCCACGGTGGAACTCGGTCATCGTCGGCGGTGCACGCGCTTATCGGGTGTCGTCGCTGATTAATCGGGTTACCGGGGTTGATGCGCTACATTCGTGCTCATATTTTCAAACCTCCGGCCGGATGATTAGCCAGGATTATCGCGGCGTTATCGCGCATGAAGGTCTTGATGTGGCTATATTCTCTTCACTCATGTTAAAGGCAACTTATGAAAAAAATTCCTGGCCCGCCCTTTTACACTTTATGTTACATCACATCTAATTATCACTGTAATATAAATAGTGACTCTGTAACAAGGCCATGAACAATTTTGTCAAAATCCTATGAGAGAGAAAGATACACATAATTTCTCTCTGTAATATACTTTCACTTTAACACAAACTGTTTCACTTTATAGCCAATATTTATAGTCGGATCTTATATTTAAGATTGTATTAAAATATCATAAGCCAATCACAGAGCAATATTAACATCTTAGGATACATTACTTAAGATCTTAAAATAAGAACTGTCTACATATTGGTCTATAAATATCGGACTATGAATAATTTTAATTAAGATTATAGAGTGAAACACACAAGTATAAATTGAATGAGATAATGTATACATAGGAAGAAATTGCACCCAGGGAGAAATGATAATGGAATCGATATTGAATCGAAATCATTAAATCGATGTTGATTCGACATCGATTTCATTGTCATTTCTCATGCAAGTATATGCTTTTCGTAAAGAAGTACCTTTTAAAAAAGTTCGCTTATGGTCGAACTGAGGTATAAAGTTTTTAAGTAAACAATGCGATTTAAAAATATTGAATATTAAAAAAGCTACACGATTTACGAATTATCTTCATATTTTGATATGATTAAAAATCAATGACGTTTTGTGACGTGTCAGATTACTTTTCGCCTTAATGAAGGCAATTGCAACGTTTATGAAACATGACGTTTATTTTGAAAAAGATATTCTTTAAAACAATAGGTCTGTTTTTTATTGCTGTACTTTGAACCGGTACAATAAGTTGAAATGAAACAAACGTATATTTGTTTCATTTCAATATTGCCCTGTACGTACCAGTTTAGAAAGTGTAGCAATAAAAAACATTCCTAATGTTTAAATAAATATAAAAGAATTCTTTCTCAAGTAAAGAATGTATACGTAAATGTTAACATTTTATAGTTACAAAAGATTGTATCTTATATTTTTTAGAAAGAATGAATATTTTATGTAATATAAAATATCTTGCTGTAAGCAATGAAATTATTCTATATTTCGCCAAAAATGTATAAAGACTTTACAAACTTCTAATGTGAGAATTAACAACACTGCGCAACGCTTTGCTGACTTTCTTTGGAGCATCCGTCAGCCTTTTTCTGCGTCCGTGAGTTCTTCATAAAGCTCTCTCCATTTTAGTACAATAAACTAAGTTCATTTTTCGTTTTTGGAGCAAGAATGCTGTTCGCGAATCGAGGCTTTTAAGACCATCTATTCTCACGAGCAAAGTTGTAGCAAAAAGGAGCGGCGGCGGCACCTCGTTAACGACCGGAACCTGTTTCATCGAAAAGGGCGTCTTCCTCGTCTTTTCGCAGGAGTATGTGAATCGATACCATGGCCAGAAGATGGGCGCCTTGGAGCCACACGTGTTCGCCCTGGCGGAGGCGGCATACAAATCCTTACAGGACACCGTGAGCAACCAATCCTGTGTGATATCGGGAGAGAGTGGCGCTGGCAAGACCGAGACCACCAAGTTCATCCTACAGTACCTATGCTCGGTTACTAGCAACGTCGATACGTGGGTGGAACAGCAAATTCTAGAGGCCAATACCATTCTCGAGGCATTTGGTAATTATCCGTTAATTACATCCAGGTTCCAAATTACGTTTGTAATTTTGTGATTATATATTTTCCGGATATCTCTCTCCCATTCTCTGTACACAAATTTGTTAGAAAATATTTGCTAATTGAAATCTTCTGCTTTGGCTCAAATCATTGGAATGAATTTTGCCGTTTAATCAGATTAAATTAATCTAATAGCAATTCCGATAATGAAATATTTCCTCAATCGCTGTAACAAAACTTGAATGACATGATTAGACTGATTATAAAGTAATTTATAATCCTAGTCTGTTTAACCCAAAATATAATTAACTTTCTTACTAATTTTATTTAAAAATTATTTTCTTTGATATTTGGTAACTTCATTTGTTGTAAGATCTTTTGTAAAAATTATTTATTTCTTAATTTGTAAAACTTGTTCATATTGATCATATTGATCTATATGATCAGTAAAGTAAATTCATAAAGTAAATCAGTAGAGTAAATTTTTTTTAACAGATCAGCACAGTTAACGAATTTAGTTAATAATTGTGAGAAATTATATTATGTAACTTAAAATTATGTAAAATTATGAAAAACATTTGTTACAAACAATTTTTTATAACGTATAGATGAAGAAAATGTCTGGATCTACTAAACTCATGAATAGTGATTATGATTAAATATATGTTAATCTTAAACTTAGATTATAAATATCTGAAAATATGTTGTATCAAAAAATTGGAGATTTTTAAAATTTGTTTTTTAAATTGAATAATTATATCTGTCGTCGATATTTCTGATAAAATTGATCTCAAGATCGAGGAGTCTATGTATAAGTCGCAACCTGCGAAAATATGTCAGAATTTAAGATTCGGTACAAAACTATTAGATGTCAGAAAAGGAACTGGGCTAAAAATGAATTGAGTATCGCTAGGAACAACTTATCTTCTTCAGAATTGGATTACAATAATAGACTGTTAAAGAATCGATGTTTTAACCGAAGTGAAGATAAACGGAGACGATAAAGTGGATAAAGTCCTTATCGTGCGTTCAGAAGTAAACAAGCGATTCATTAATCGTAATCTAGGTGCGAACAACTCAGGTGTTAAATACAGTGACGAAGGGAAATGAAGTGGGTCACGAAGCAAAAAGATTTTATGAATAAAACACATCAGACAGCGTCGTTCATTCACCTGCATGAGAGAGAGATAATGATTTCTTTTTTAAATCTTACTTATTTCATTTATCTTCGTCACAGAGTTTTATCCATGTTTCGCATTTAAATAAACTTGAGAAAATCTCGCTCCTCCTATTCTGCATATGTCTCGAGGAATATTTAACAAATGTATTTCCTCTTAAAAATGCATTATAAAAGAATTTAAAAAAATGTCTTTAATGTAGTAATATTGTAAAACTTTTAAAATTTTAAACTCTTATTAATCTTAGAATGCTATCGATATATAAATTTTATATAGTAAACGAAGTCATTGAACGCTAATTTATGCCTTCAGTGATCATTAGGGAAATCCAATCATACTAAAAGTTAGAACGAAAGAAGACGAGCTTTAAAAAATTCTATCCGTTGTATATTTTGTACTCCTTGATGATCTGTACAAAATTATAACAGAAAACAGTGATTTCAAATTTTAAAAATAGTTTTGTTTTATATTATTTTATTATGTATTATATATTTTATTTAAAGGAGGAGACATATATCAATTGGACTACACACGCTATGTTATTTTAAAATTTTAATAGCGTGCTTATTCTTTTTTCTCTTTTAAGTCAATATTTAAATTATTTAGATGTTTATAAAGATTTCGATTATAAATATTTTGTGATTAAAAGTGACAAATGTATAAAAAACTTGTGTTACATTATTTAAGAGTGACCTATTTTCTAATTTCTTATATAATTTATGTGTCGATAATAATATTGTTTTTCAATCACTTAATATTGATAACGTTTTAGAATTGGTAATAATAAATTTAGTTTTTGAATTTTTCTCAATATTCAAATTAGAACGATGAGAAAGTTTAACGAGAGAAATTTTATTCTCGTTAAAAGGCAACGCGAAAACTGTACGGAATGACAACAGTTCGCGCTTTGGCAAGTTTATGCAAGTGTGTTTCGACAACAAGTGGATGATCAAGGGATGTATCATCCAAGACTACCTGCTGGAGCAGAGTCGTATCACCTTTCAGAGCCCCGGGGAACGCAATTACCACGTGTTCTATCAGCTGGTCGAGGCCGGCACGAGGGATAAGGAATTTGCGGAGCAATATAAGTTAAGGCCAGCCAGCCACTACAAATATCTCAATCAGTCCGGCTGCGTGAAGATCGACGGAATTTCCGACTCTAAGAAGCTCGATTCTCTCAGGCTCGCCTTTAATGTGCTTCAGGTATTTCTCTGCTGAGAAAGAGAATTTTGCACTCCTATTATTGTCGAATAATTATTATTCGTGCAGATCGCGCCGGAAATGTGCGAAGGCATCTTCCGAGTTCTATCGGCCATCCTGTGGCTCGGAAACTTGAGCTTCGAGGACGTCGATGGCGAAAGATGCGAGTTATTGAAGGAGGACGGGAATATAGTCGACACGGTTGCGCCGCTGTTGGGTCTTCAGGTGGAGGATCTCACCAAGGTGGTGCTGATACGACAGATAAACGTTCGTGGTAATATCACGGAGATTCCACTGAAGGTGCAAGAGGCCAGGGAGAATAGGCACGCGATGGCAAAAGCACTCTACTCTCGTACTTTCGCTTGGCTTATCAACCACATCAACAACTGCACGAACCCAGGTCAGGATATCTCGCGGTTCCTTGGGGTTCTCGATATCTTCGGATTCGAGAATTTTACGCTGAATAGCTTTGAGCAACTCTGCATCAACTACACGAACGAGAAGCTGCACAAGTTTTTCAATCACTACGTCTTTGCATTGGAGCAGGAACTCGTAAGTTTATCCCAGTGCTCAGAATTTTTATGTGATCAAACAATTCGTATGAAAAACTGCACAAGTTTTTGAAATCTAAAGTTACCAAAGCTTAAAAGCAGTTCTTAGACGCACAATATATTGTACAATTATTTTGTATAACTGTTTGTTGATAAGCAATTCAAAACAAAGTCTAAAGACTCAATGTGACCTTCAGATGATCAATAATATTGAATTAACTAATATTAAATATTTTATATTACTATTGATTATATATTTAAGGGACGCTTAAAAATTTCGAATATCTCGAATTATTCAATTTGTTACATCTAATTTTAGGTAACAAATAAAATGAAACAAATAAAAGTAACTTTTTTCATTCAAACTTTCTTTAATGTTCTAATTAGAATGATTTAAGAGAGAATTTAATGCTCGAATATTTTTATTTTAAATTTTCTAATTATTAAGTTTACTTTAATTTGAGCTTTAAAACTTATTTTATCCCTCACTTTCGTATATTTTTTTGTTTTGTTGCCAAAAAGTTAATTCAGCATAAATAAATATATAAGTATCAAATATATGTTTAGTATCATCAAGAAGAGATTCAGTACTCCCACATCACTTTCACTGATAACACTATGTGCCTGGAGCTAATTGAGAAGCCTCCGCGATGTGTTCTTAAGTTACTTACCGAGCAGTGCCATATGCCGAAAGGCTCGGATCTAGCTTATCTGACAAACCTGCACGCTGAATTTGAGAGCCATCCGTGTTACGTAAAGGGAGACGATCGACGGAAATGGGAGAAGGAATTTGGGGTCAAGCATTACGCCGGTTGCGTGACATATACTGTCGAAGGTTTCGTCGACAAGAATCGGGATGTACAGCAGGACGTATTCTTCGACTTCATGTCCAGGAGTACAAATGAGTTTGTACAAGAGATCAGTGTTTATCAGGATCTATTGGGATGTACCGTCGCGCGTGCAACCGGCGGCACAACTACTACGATGTCGCGAGGAACGTCCAAGGGCAAGCCGACCCTCTGCGACTCATTCCGGCATCAGTTGCAAGCTCTAGTAGATGTTTTACAGGGGACGACGCCGTGGTACGCGCGCTGTATCAAACCGAACATGGAAAAAATGGCCAATCACTACGATGAGAAGCTCGTTATGGACCAACTCAAATATCTTGGTATGCTCGATATCATACGCATACGCAAGGAGGGCTTCCCAATACACATGTCGTTCCATGATTTCGTTGCGAGATATCGTTGTCTGGATAAAAGCCGATCCTCACTTTCCTCTAACGAGAAGGAGGCGGTTAGATGTCTGATTAGTAAACAAGGTATACCGCAAACTGAATGGCAAATTGGCCGGACAAAGGTGTTTTTGCGAAGCTACGTGCACGAGCCTCTGGAGGATTCCAGAAACCAGGTAATAATGAAGAATGCCATTGTGATACAGAAGATTTGGCGAGGATACATTAAACGACGAGGTATGATCTGCGTTTCCTATCTTTATATGTTTTCTAACTCACGCTATAATTTAAAATATTTGTTGTTTTCAAATATGATATAAAATATTAAAGGGAAAAATTATTTGTTTTGAAAAAATAATATAATAAGCAAAAAATGTTCTGAAGGTCATATTTTTCAAATTTCAAGACATAAATATAATACAATTTTTAAACAAATAAAAAATTATTCTTATTCCGAGTAAATTAGAAAGAGAAATATGACATTCAATTTTAACTTTGAAGAAATTATATTATACTTTATTTATTTGGAATAATTAATATATTTTCATTTGTTTGGAAATTGTATTGTACTAATAATGTTATTCTCTGTTCTATAGAGTATAGACGTATAAGGGAGGCGACACTGAAGGTGCAGCATGCATATCGTGGTTGGAAGTTACGAATAATGTTCATCAGGAAACGCAGGGCAGCTATAGTAATTCAGAGTCATTTGCGAGGTGTCTTTGCGAGGGAAGTAGCCGCAGCTCTACGAGAAATGCGACGAGTCGATGAGGAGATGAGAAAAAGGGAACGGTTGGAAGAGGAACGAAGAATGATGGAGGATAAGAAGGCGTTGGAAGAGAGCCAAAGGTATGGGAGATCAACTCCGTTTGAATTTCTTAATTCCCATGAACCTTGCTTGCGACGATAGTAATTCTCGTGTAAGATAACTGATAACAATGGAACCGATTAATTATGCGTGCCGATCGATTGTATGCATTAATCGTTTCCGTTTGTGTTCCTTTTATAGCGCGCAGTATGATGGTATTGCCGAGATGGAATCTGGGTAAGTCCGACGATGGAAAAGATCGTGTGACGTATATATGACGGCATACACTCGTTGCATGCTAAATATTGCGTGTATCTTAAATGCCTTATCGCTTCTTCGTTTGATATATGTATGGTTTTATACTGAAGATCGATTGTGAAATTAAACGCTACATAATAGAAAATCACACGTTTATAATTGATGAATTGGATAGAAGAACGGCGTAAAGCACGCGACTTTAAGACATAAATATTACAATGATATAAATTTAAATAAAATATTATAATCTTTGAACATTTAAAGAAAATGTAAAATTATCGTAGTTATAGCATATTATAAATATTATAGATTAGCTGTATGTAACTAAAATTTATTCATGATTGTGTATCTCTTAGCGAATTCAATTGAATGTACTAATGCATATTAAAATCGTTGTACACTAATTTAATCTGAGTAAAAATAAAATGTAAATATTTCGAATTATAGAGCACATATTTTACTTAACATTAAAATTTGACATTAAAATTTATCAAGGATTTTACGGTTTAATCCGTTTTTATATTTATATTAAACATATCTTTGTCAATCAATTTGTGTATAACGATGTACGTCCAACCGAATTTGCTATCTGATTTTTTTCAAGACATTATTTTATAATTTACTGCATGGAATGTCTCGTTGTGGTTATTGTTACACGATAACATTACACGAAATTTACTTTGCTCGTAATACTAGCATATGCATTTTTGGAAAAAAAACATCAATCGGTAACGACAATACAATTTTCTTTTTAATTTTGCAGAAAAGTGCAAGAAGAAATCGACGCGTTGTCACAGATGGCCGAGCAAATGAACTCGAAGATAGCTGTCACGGATTTGCAATCGGTGGATCTTGACAATCTGTTTTCCTTCCTATCTGACGTACAATCAACTAAAAGTAATCAGATTATCGAGGAAATCGGGGAACAGATGGACGAATTGGTGGAGGACCTTGACGTAGAATTAGAAAATGTTATTCAACAAGAGATGGAATTGAATGCCAAGGCCGAGTCGAAGGTCGCTTCTCCCATGAATGGGCAGGAAGTACAGTCTCCGCAACAGCAACAGCGAATGCCGTGCTCGAATAACTTGAGTAGTAGCAAACTTGGTCAACCAAGTCTTCCGGAACCCACGGAACCACCACCGCCGCCACCACCTCCGGCGCCACCTTTAATTGTGAATGGCGAGTCATCAGATGACAACGGCGAGCCAATTTACGAGTCAGTGTTGCCGCGAGAAGCGAATGATTCTGACATTCCAATTCATAATGGCGGCAGTCCGAGCCAGATGATGAACGGTGAGACTTGCGGATCGCCACCACCGCCTCCACCCAGTGGTAAGATAACCAAAGAAATCGCTGCTAGTCCGCCATCTAGGCCAGAGTCCAGGAGTTCCGGTCATCATCATCCGGCTCACCATCATCATCATCATCAGACGATACCCCAGGCGCAACAGAACGGCCATGATCAGCTGCAGCCACAATCGCAGACAGTACAGCAACTGCCGGTGGAACGTGAGCAGCGGCGCAAGACTCGTGTGGAGCGGAAACTGCAAGAGCTTGAAGACAAGAAGGAGCAGGAGAACGAGGTGACCTACCACGACATTGTAGAGTTTGCGCAGAATTATTTTAACAGTCATGAACGTTCGCCGGAGGGTACCATAATGGCTACGTTAACGAGGAAATCGCGCGGGAAAAGTATCGAGTTCATTCCGAAGTACGAGATGGTCACATACTACAAAGGATCGAGTATTCCGAACTCGCATATTCATATGTATGATCCCGACAATGTGAATGTTGCTTGTTCCGTGTTCAGGGTACGCCTGCATTAATTATAACTTGCAGAAAACTCAAAGAAAAGAATAATTATTTCTTGTAACTTTTAAGTAAATTCAATAATTCAATAATTTGAAGTTAATCTACAGCAATCTGACCATAAAGTTGATGAATCTTCGAGATTGGAATTGCATTTAAAATTATTAAAAAACTGTAAAAAATTCTTTTCTTTCCGTTTAAAGTTTTTTTTGTTGTGTTATAAATGTTATAATTAGGATACATAATCATGTTATTCTTTTTCTCAGGATTTGTGTAAGTATATTCGCGGTGAAATGAAGTTGGATCAAGAAATAGTCACGATTCAGAGTATCATCGCTTATGGGATCGAGCGGGAAGAGTTAAGAGATGAAATCTTTGTGCAATGTATGCGTCAAGCGACGAATAATCCCAACGCTGAGTGGTCAGAACGCGTGTGGCTGCTATTGTGCTTGGCGATCGTCGCCTTCCAACCGAGCAAGCTACTTTACAAGTATTTTGTCTCCTTCCTGAAAAAGAATCTTGCTCTCGAAGGCAAGCTGAGACAGTATGTGCAGTGGTGCGTAGATAATTGCAAGAACACCAAGGTATCTTGCAGGCAACATCCACCATCTACGGTGGAAATCGCTGCTATGAGACGATTGGGCACCATAGTATGCAGGTTCTTTTTCTTGGACGGAAGAACGAAGGCGATCGACGTGCATCCGATTGATACAGCTGCTGATGCTGTCGCCAAATTAGGAGAAAAGTTGGGTCTTCGATCGCTAGAAGGTTGGGCCATTTATCAAAGCAGACCAGATGGAGAGGAGCACGTGCGAGCTCACGATTATTTGTACGACGTGATTGCTGCATGGGAAATGTAAGTGTGAATGCAATTATATTCACGTAGAATTATTATACAATAATCTATAACTACAGGAAACAATGCAAATTGAATACGGCACAGTCGACGTTTTCGACACTACGACGCGGTAACAATACTACTTTAGGCAGCGGCGATAATCGTTTCGTCTTCAAACGAAGGTTATTCCGTAATCCAAGGGAGATCTCGCAGGATCCCGTAGAAGTTAATATGCTATACGCGCAAGCGGTCTACAATGTCGTAAAGGTACGATGCTTCATTATAACAAATAGATTGCTTCACAATTTAAGCTTTTATTTTTAGAATAAGATGGTATAATTCTGAACGAAATAAGATTTTAATCCAATTTCCGAAGTTCAAGTTTGATTTCTTCCTATTTGATTTCTTTCAATATCTTTTATATAATAAGAAGGTCACCAAATTTGAACTTCGAAAATTGAATTCAAATTTTATTTCGTTTAGAATTGTACCATGTTCAAAAGTGTATCATCTTATCCTATATGTATTTTATTCTTCTATTTATTTTTAGTGCGATGATTTTCCGGTGTCCGAGAAAGTGGCATTGCAATTGGCAGGATTGCAAGCACAAGTGTCCCTCGGCGATCCCAAGGATAATGATAGACTAGATTATTACAGCGAAGTGGATAGCTTCCTACCCTACAGAATCAGTCGGGCTCGTGGCGACGATGTTTGGGTGCCGATTATAGCGCAAGCACACCGACAATATGGTGCCGGACGCAAAGAGCTCGCTGCCAAAGTTCTGTATCTATCCTGCGTGATGCAGTATCCACTTTATGGCACAACGATGTTCAATGTAACTTACCGCGGATACTGGTCTTATGGCAACCAGTTGATTCTCGGCATCAACTGTGACGGTCTGATGTTAATCAAGCCGGATGATAAATTCGTTCTGTCCGAGTATCGTTATCAGGATGTCGAAAGCATTATGTTAGATCCGAGCGATTCATTCATCACACTCTCGTTGTTGCGACATAATCCCGATAGTTCGCACAAGTGTTTCGTTTTCGAGACGCCACAAAAAAACGAGATTGGTAGTCTGATTGTCAGTTACTGTTCGGCACTGGCGGGTTGGATCACAGAGAATGAGGTACCCACGAAGAAACTCAAGTGTATTACTAACGAAGATCGCATCCGACTTTATCACAATCTAATCAATTGTCGGCGAACTCTAGTCGATTCGGAGATTCTTAGAAAACCGCAGGATTCCGGTGGTGGTTTTCTTCGGAATACACTTAGAAGATTATCGAAGCATCGAATAGAAAAGCTCAGGCAGGAACATGGAAGTGCCGATCACGGCGAGACTTACAAAGGTTTCCCGTATGCTTACTGGGCTTTCAGCAGGCAACAGATACCGCAAAGTCTATCGAAACTGCCTGATCCCGATGAACAAGTGTCTCTAAATATCTTCCAGTTAATTTTGACGTATGCGGGACTTGGGCAAAACGGAGACACAGTACGTAGAGTCGAGGATGAGCACGTGAATCTTATACAAACCGTAATGGAACGTTGTATACGAAAAGAAAATCTACTGGGTGAATTATACCTCCAATTGATCAAGCAAACCACTGATCATCCAGATCCCAATAATCGTGTCAATCTGCGACACTGGGCATTGCTCTCGCTCGCGTGTTCTGTAATCCTACCGCCTCAAAAGACGATACGCAAATACTTGATAGCACACTTAAAACGATGCGCTAGCGATTATGTCACCGAGGAGGGTAAGTATGCGAGGTTTGCAGAAAAGTGCCTTTACAAGACTCAGGGCACTCGCAGGCGGCAGTGGCCACCGAGTCGCGAGGAGATTATGTGCACTATCAATCGCCGGCCGATCTATGCCAGATTCCATTTCATGGACGGTCAATATCATGCCGTCGAATTTCATCCATCCGCAACCGCTAGGGACGTCATGGAGATCATAAAGACAAAGATAGGACTTGAGGAGACTGCTATGGGTATGCTCGATATTTTTATTTTTTATTTATATTATTTTATATCACTATCCTAATTCCTTTTCTTCCGATCTCTGTTAGAATTACAGTATCATGTATTCTAATTAAATTCAGACATATCTTCAATTGCAAAATTTGTAAATATTACAAGTCTATATTTAATTCATTTTAATTTGTCCTAAAGTTGGATTTTATTTAATTGATTTTTATCGTTATTTTATTCTTTATCAGGTTATGCAATTTATGAGGTGTTGGGACCGACTGAACGATCGCTGATTCCCGAGGAGAAGATAGCTGATGTTATGTCTAAGTGGGAACGATACAGGACGTCGCAGCAGAGTCAACATCAACGCAAGCATGCGCATCACCTTTTCCTGTTCAAGAAACATTTGTTCTTAGATCAATACATGAATTTAGACGATCCTGTCGAAAAGGAATTATTGTATCATCAAGTGTTACACGATTTACGAGCCGATCGGTTTCCTATCACCGAAAAAGAAGCTGTAAGTAAGAAGCCTCGTTGCAGTAACTTCTCTGCGCTTAACTTTCATATTTTCTTAATAATTTAATTTTAAATAGAACTATTTCAAATTTAATTCTTTACACATATGATTTAAAATTCATTAATTATTACATTTGAAATATATATCAAAATGAAGTTATAAAAAAATCAGTAAGTTATAAGATATATTTGTTTAATTTCTTTTTTATTTTATATTATTTTGTGAATTTAATTTAGTATATAGATTA